AACGCTTAAAATGTGCCGAAAATGTCTATTATTTCGGATGTGAAACTTCCAGCATGTTTTTCAATGACTTCGATGCATTCCTCGCGCCCGTGAGCGGAAAATGAAGTAAAATTTAAGTTTTTGAAAAAAATTAATTTTACCGGGGCCCCCGGCTTCACGATGTCGGGGGCCTCGGTAACATCTATATTGCCGCTTTTTCTTTTTTTTTAATGCGGCCCTGCTTAATTTGTATAATCGCATAAACAACCACAAGCAGTAGCAATGTTAACCGAATAAACTGGTCATAAGCGATCAAATGCCCACAACCAGATAGGTATTTTTAGTTGTGAGACCACGTTCTCTGGTGATAAAGAAGCACATTTTTGTGGCGACCTTCAGACAGTCAGGAGCTGAACTTCCGGAATTTTAACAAATTTCATTTGTCGCGAAGACATGTGGGTTTGGTACTGTGTAGTGGATATTGTACCAACAGTTGATAGTTGGCTGCTAAATACTTGACCGTACTCTTAATCACAAACATCTCGGTTGAGATAAGAAGCCATAATCCGTTATCTTAATTGAAGGTGAACATACACTTCGATAAGGTTTTCCAGGCACTTTGTGTCATGGCAATTTTTAGTATTTTCTGATTTCGCATGGAATTGCCACACTAGGCGAAAGGTATGGCGAGCGAAGAAGCGGAATTGTCCAGCATCGGTGCGGCCGAACTGGTCAATAACAACAACGTGTTGAAAATGAACGGTGTTGCTGAAGGCGAAACGTCGGACCTCATAGATTTGCGGGACAAAGACACGCTTTTCAGTGGCGACTGGTTAAAAGACAATGAAAGTTTCGATGAAGACTGCGACGTTATTGAGAGCTTCATGAAATCCTCTAGTGATGAAGTAAGTGAAGAGGAATGAACTGTCCAGTGTGGTGAAAACCACTCATGATTTCACACGTTAACCTTTAGCTAATGTTTTACACTCGCCTGAATCATATGACTCAGGTTGATCGATGAGGCGGTTGTTTAATACAACCTACGATGAAAATATGCCAATGTGAATATTTTATTCATTGCCTGTGCAGGTTTAAACAGTCAACAGGTAAAATGGCAATTAAACGATTAGTTTACATGGCTTGAGTGACTAAACTAAAGATTTTAGCGCCTCAGTGCTGGTTTTTCAAACAGGATCAAGTTGCGTGTAATTATTGATCGCTTCCAAACCTGACAATATCGGTTAAAAACCCATCCATCCATGCAGTAGCGGTCAGCGTTATTATTCATACATTGATGGACTATTTATTTGAATTTTTCAGGCTGAAGCGAGACTATGGGCCAAGAGGCAAGCACGTGCGGAAGCTCGAGAAATTCGCATGCGGGAACTAGAACGCATGCAACGTGAACAGGAAGAAAACGCCGATAGACAATTTGATATGTTGGTGGCATCAACGGAGCCCGTTTGGGGCCCACGGGGGCGCGCCCCCCCTACCACGAGGCACCGACCGGCCAGCAGAAGAAATTCTGAAGACTCCTTGGAGGATGCAGGCGGCGGCGGAAGCCTAAGGGACATACGGGTGAGCACAAGCTGCACAATGACTAGTTTTTTCAAATTTATTTTTAATTAAAGATTGAATAACTTCAGACTGCATACTTGTCAACGATCCAACTAGTTTCAGGCTCATGTGAAACAGTTTGGTTATAATTGAATTGAACGAGTAAACCATGCAAAATAACGTGATATTAACTCAACTGAACTTGCAGGCAGAGCTCAAAGATGTCGAGGAGCGGTTTAGAAAGGCGATGATTGCGAACGCCCAATTGGATAACGACAAGGCTTCGCAAACCTACCAATTAGAGCTGCTTAAAGACCGGTTGGAAGAGCTGGAGGAAGATAATTTGCAGTTGAAGCGCGAGCATAGGGATAAATGCAGGGAGCACGATCAGCTGAAGAGGCTTTGCCAGCAGCTGAAGGACGAGCTGCGCCTGTTTAAAAACGAATTGGAAGAGCGGGATAGGTTAATAGAAGAGAAAGGACTAGTGATAGTCTTTGCGGAGCCGGAGGAAGAGGGACAGCCTCCGAAGAAAGCGCTGATTCAGGCCGAGAACGCCAGGCTCCTTGAAGGAGGGGACGGCAGTCTAGGTAATCAGGGCGGGTTTTTTAAACTTACTGGATCTAATTAGCTTTTCTGGCAGACGTGCGATTATCAAATTTCGCGAAAGAAAGGAGCGAGCTTCAGGATCAAATAAGTAGTTTAAAGTTAGAATTAGACGAGGAGAGGACTCGAAGACGGAAGTCCAGCGGACTGCCAAATGGCCCTCTGTCGGATTGCGACTCGGATGATCTGCAACGTAAGTAAATTTCTATCCAACCTTTTGAAGCGGCGTCATTAATGGACGTTTTCCACTGGTTGAAAAGTCAGTAAGTGAGTCATCGTTTATTTTCAGGGGAAGCAAGTAAGCAATTGGCTGATTACAAGTTTCGGGCGCAAAAATCAGAGCAAGACGTTGCGACATTGCAAGCGACCGTCGCCAGATTGGAGAGCCAAGTGATTCGGTACAAAACCGCCGCGGAAGTATCGGAGCAGTCTGAGGAAGCCCTGAAAGCCGAAAAGCGAAAGCTCCAAAGAGAGGTGAGTGCGCAACGCGTAAAATTCCCTTAGCTACCACCGACCTGCATCAGATTGAGGATGGATGGACGATCACTCGCCCGCTGACGAGCTGAATTTTTGTTTTATTTGCAGGATTCCGATAATTCTCTTAGTGACATTTCGTCCATAGATGTTTCGGAGTCAAATAGTTGTTAGAGCTTTTTTGGCACAAACGCACTGGTAATGTTACTAACACGCCGCTTGAGCTGTTAACTTCGTGTTTGTCCCTTCGAGTATATTCTGGTCGGCTTTGTGAAGTTGTTTTCGTTGCTTGAATTCTGCATAATCACACTATCTATTTGGAAATTTTATACACATTTCTCTGTTTTGTTCCCACCATCAAAGTTCACTGGTGGCTCTCACTGATACTTTCACCCTATCAAACTCTTGAATGTTGCTTTATTTTCCAGTGTGTGTGTTTTTAATAAGTTTTTGAAATAATGCTGGTGATTTTTAGGCTAGAGAGGCTCAGAACCGGGCGGATGAGTTGGAAACCTCCAACACCCACCTCCTCAAACGATTAGACAAGCTTAAAAACGCGAAATCAGCGCTATTGAAAGAACTCTGATAAGGCCATTTTACACTTTTATATTTAGTGATTGATTTGTATTCTGGTGAGTGGCGGAAATCTGTTTCACAGTAGATGCGCAACGTAAGAGCGATTGCCGCACATTTTTTAGGCAAATGTCCCAACAGTAGTGCTTTTTTACGCTGTCCGTTATTCACGTTACCTATTAGCCATATTAACACCGATTTTTTTACTGTTTATGAATATTGTTTTTAACAGATTTTTTAACTAAAAGAATAATTCGCCTACTAACAAAAAAAGTCGTTTGTTTTTAGTTCAGACATTGTCTACTTTCAGACAAATCAGCCAATCTGCATATGCGGAAAGTGCCAATTCTTTGCTAATAACAACCAATGTGCGCATAGTTATTTACTTGAAAAATTTGTATTTATTTATTTAAATGTAGGACCTAATTTTTATTCCATTTTGTAAATACGTGTACACAATTAATAGGTTTCTAGTATTGTTGAAGGGCTGCCCCTGAGAAATGCAATGAAATGAGTTCCATTTTATGCATATTGCAACACTAAAAATGACTTGCTTACACAACCAACGGCAATGGTAGAGAAAATTGGCTCAATAGAACATGTGATTGTAGAATCAGGTATCCACAAATCGGCTCAATAGTGCCGCTCCAGCACGTCGGGCTTTTATTGTGTAACTTGCGGCTTTTTGAGCTAGTTTTTATATTTACATGTGTACTACGGTTCTCAAAATTGTGCCAGGAAATAATAGTCATATTTGTAATATAACAATTCCGCTGTAAAAGTATGTTAGAAACAATGCGTTTATAAGTTTTAAATTGGTGATGAAATCGGCGTTTGGCCACTATTACTTAATTAATTAAGTCGCTCCTACTGATCACAACTGAAGACACACAAGCGTGATTTGTTGTCAATTTAAAACCTGGTTACTAATGATTTTGTAAATAACATAAAATATGTGATTTTTCTGTATACTACTACTCAATCTTGTTTTTGGTAAAAGGTACTTGAAAAATAAAATAAATATTTACTAAGCTGGAGTTTTCTTCAAACCAAACATAAACAAAACCATTCTAATTATCTGTTGTGGCCTTTGCATATCGATATTTGCCAGCACTTTAGCATTCATATGACGACTTTCGAAATTATTTCCGCTTCTTCAGCCTATCAAGGCTGCAGCACAATGGCTTTTTACATGATTTACATTGGCGATTCATGTGAATCATCTTTGTAGGGGATTTGCACGATGCCTAGAAAATATTGAATCGAAATCTCTCAGTCGATTTAAATAAATGTTTGTTTTTGTGAAATTATCTACGTAAATGTTTCATTGGCATACAAAACACGTCCTCAATTTCGACCTTCACATTGCCTTAACCCTAAGAATTTAAAAGAGATAACCGAAAACCGAATACAACAACAAAATCCCTATTTATCTTTGTGCAACTGTATAAAACTGGTGAGCGCGATGGCAGAGGGGCACTTCGCAAGGAGACCTCCTTGATGAGTGTAGTCCTTTGCCCGATTAAAATTCTTAAAATGAAGCTAATCACCAGTGCAGTTTTAGTGGTAGTGCTGATTGTTTGTGTGGCGGATATTCAGGCCGTTGCCAGTCCATTTTGGGATAAACTATTCGGCGGAAATGACTATACTTACGGAAATGGATACAGCAGACCCCGGTAAGCGAGCGCAACTGTTCACGCTTGCAGCAGTTTAATTTTCGATTCTATAGATCGTATGGCCGAAACTACAACTCTGGGGATGGAGGCGATCGCTACAAAGCCATCTGCAGGGTGCACGCAATCGACTCTTTCTCATTTCCAGGGCAAATATCTAGGCCAGTATGCCCTTAACATTTTAATTGTTAATGTCGCGTGTTTGTAAAACTATGGGACTGATAGACCTAGAAAAAATTAATTGAATATTTATAATTAGTTTATTACTGAAAATGGCGCCTTCTGTTTAAATTATATTTTATAAATACCATAAACTTCGGGATCTGTTCAATTTTGACCCTGTTGCAGCTCCTCCGGCTTACTGCCCGATACATCCACCCAATCCTTTGGATTTCTTAGCACTTCCAGTAGAGTTTCTTCCGGTGAATCCTTAGCTGATCGTTGCATGTATTCCCATTTCTAAAAATGCAAATTTGTTTTTGAGGATAAATTTCTTATGTAAACAGAGTTTTTGTGTGCAGTTGCGAGTTCATAATGGAGCAAACTAGTCCATCTATAATTTGCAATTAGCGCGCACATGTTGGCTTTCTTAGACTTTGGGAACTTTAATAAGGAAGTTGCTGAATTTATTGGCCAACTACTTACCGCGTATAATGGCAAGGACATGAGAATACTCTCATACCGAGCTCCTGGAGTGTAGAGGCCAAACTTGGTGCCTCTGTCGTAAATCAGGTTGAATTCTACATATCTGCCTCGTCTTAGTAGCTGCCACTCCCTTTCCACTTTAGTGTAGCTGGCAAGCTTGTGCCTTTTAACTATTAAAGAAACCAGCCATTATTCCCCTGCCTTTAACTGAGAAGACGATTTTTACCCAGTGGAATATACGAAGGAATAACTGCGTTGGCGCACTCAGAGACAAACTGGAAACAGTCTTCACTATTCGGAGTGTCCAGGTCGTCGAAAAAAATGCCTCCAATCCCCCGTCGCTCTCCTCTATGCACAATATGGAAATAGTCATCGCACCACTTTTTAAACTTGGGGTAGTAGCTTTTGTCATGTTTGTCGCAGGCCTCCTTTAAGGTGGAATGGAAATGGATGCAATCCGCGCTGTTTAAGTAGTAGGGAGTGAGGTCGGTGCCGCCTCCAAACCACCAATGCCTCTCCTCCTCACTCTGCACCTAAAGCCGAAAATCATAAACGTTTTAAAACACCTTGCAAAAGCGCGGCTCACCTCAAAATACCTATAATTGAAATGGACAGTGGGAATCATGGGGTTTACTGGGTGGATCACCGCGCTGAGTCCAGCCGCAAAAAACGGCAACTTTCCCTCCTTCAGCTTTTTGCCTCTTGATCGCATCTGGGCAGCGGCAGCCGGCGGCAACTCTCCATAAACCACCGAAACATTGACTCCGGCCTTTTCGAAAACACTGCCGTTTTGCAGGACGCAAGTCACTCCTCCGCCGCCTTCCTGTCGCTCCCATCTGTCCACTTTGAATTTGACCGCGTCCTCTTTTTCCAGCGCTTTGCAAAAATCACTCTGCACCTTCATAATCATCAGCTCCATTCGCGTTTTCATATCGTCAGGATTGCGGCTCAATTTGTCCAGGGGGGTTATCGGGAGGGCCATAAACGCTTTGGTTTCGATCGGATTCTTTGCTGAGAATAGTGTGAGGCTTGCGGTGAATGCTGCTCCATATTTCCTGCAAGGGCAAAAAACGGGTACAGAAAAGTGTCCAGACAAAGCTTTTTGATAAATACTAATGGTTCTTATCAACGGTTGATTCTACCGAGATGAATAAGGACATTTTTTAAACTTTTAAACTATAAGAAGCAGATTTCAGAGAAGCAAGTTCTCAATAGCTTTCTGCTTGCTACTGATAAGTTTGTGAACAAAATCACGCCACTCGAATATAATTTGGTGCCGTGCTACTCGATTCTAAAATAAGGCAGGTTTGATCAGATTAATAAGAGCAAATCATGGCACTTTCAAGTCATTTTACGTGGCTTCACGCATTTATTGCAGTGAAATAAAGGACAATTTACTTAACTGAGCAAAGTAAAATAAGTAGTTTTTCCATGTAAAAGTGGGGCTCGGTACAAGGGCCCCTGAAAGTCCGCTGTAGACAAATTGCTCTAGAAACCTGCACAGGAGCTAAACCCTTACAGCCCCTTGAAAATTGCGCAATCTAAGACATCGCAGGAAATGTGCACTTACCCTAATTTACCGATCTCCCTCTTCTTTTGGCAATAGATCAACGCGAGGCCCCGCAGGAAAACATTCGCCACCATTTCAGCCGCCTTATCAATGTATTATGGAAATTTTTAAAATAAAAACTTGTTTTCTTGGTGACACTAGTCTAGGTTATGTTAGCAGGGAAAGTGCCAATCTAGCAGGAAAATGTCCACGAATCAGCTGTTGGGGATAATTTATAATGTTGTCATGGTGGCCGTCATTCCCCAGAACGCTAGCCGCGCTGCTTCAACCAACTGGGCTAGAAAGAGATAGGAATGAAAACATAGGAGAAGTGTTGAATGCGCCAAAAGAGCAACATGTGTGTTTTTTAGCTGTATATCGATCTGACGTTTATTTTTTGCTCAAGCTGTGAGACGTATTTTCGCAAGTTTCCTTAGTGTTCGCGGTTGTTTTTGGGAAAATTCGCGCTGTTAGTGTGGGATTTTCCGGTTAAAATAGTGTTTCTCGCCAGGCCATACTTTGCGTCGTCTCCTAAGGGTTTTAGCGCAGAATTACAGTCGTGTGGTTCAAGCTCCGACGCGAACACCCGCGTTTACAGTCCAAAAGTGCCGACGGCATACGACACAGTCCGACCGGGGGCACGTCGTGGCTAGTTTCACTGGCGTATTCTGCTGAATCCCGGATTTTCTAATTTTCCAGAGGGATACTGTACATCGGAAAATTATCCGGGACAGAACGAGACGCGTTTCCAGCTAGTGCTCGCTATCACTGATTTTCCACTGCTAAGACAATGCTGTAAACAGATAGAAGAAATCGTTCGCGAACGCGCGTCTTATTTAAATTTGTCAATTTCCCAACAAACTAATGTCAGATGGGCCATAGTGAGCTTAGATAACTCTCGATTCAACCCGAAAAAACAGAGCAATGAGAAAAATTACGTTCAAAGGAGTTTTCGATAATTTTCGAAATTCCGTCGCTCAGCCGCCATCCAGGGCCGACCAGGAAGTTCAGGAGACTCTGCGGCCCGAGAACTTCCAAGTCAAAAGGGTGAGTTTTTGCCCCAATTTTTTATCCCAACATTTATCGTTAGCGTTCCTGGTTTATCAATACTGGTATCAAGTTTAGCGGGTTTGGGACGGTGAACAGAAACTCTTTATTTTCTTGAAAAAGCCTACGTTTTGACTATATGAGGAAGGCTAAATATATAGTCGAGGCGTAGGCTTTGCAATGTTTAATGAACCGAATTTATATTTCATATACAATCCAAGACTCACCCTGAATAGTTTTACGCCAGTCTAGGAGTAGGTATATACAGGATGGGTAGAAAATGTGGTTGATTTTGGGTTTTTGTTTACACCCTGTATATGTTTTTTGGATCCATGGCTGTCTGCACTCTGTAAATGAAAAGGTTTTGGCAGCTAAGAATTTTTTTCCAAAATGGGCGTCCTCCCAGGATTTTTTTGGGACGCACTGTATTTGCCCTAAGAACTCGATCATTGTTGGAATTCTTGCAAATTTGCACAATAAAACCGGGTGACTTGCGGTTTAATCGGGAAAATAAACAAAAAGGTTTGTTTATAAACATATGTCCGAAATACAGGGTGTTGAAATTGAACCGTCGTGTGTTTTTTCGCTCCAAATTTTGCAGTTTTTCTGATAGTCACCGCTAATTTGTAGCGTGCGTGGGTTATGCTCTAGGGAATACGCCCTTCAATGTTTCAAAGAATTTGAAAAACTTACAGGGTGGTAATTTTTTAGTCCCTTTTACCACCTGGAACTTTTTTGTGGAGCGCCACTGAGTTCCAACAAGTTTTGCTAAAGTTGTTTGTCCAGTTGCGACACTTTTCAGTCTCTAGTATTTGTTTTGCATCCGGCATCGTTTTCGAGTTATTTGCAAAAGAGTTGCTGCAAGCAAATATTAGAATTGCACCAGAAAATAGTAGAATAAGTGTCACATCATTAGTGTCTTCGGTTTGGCAATTTTCAAGAAACATTGGTTAGAAACTGTTCAGCTTTTAAAAACAGTTAAAACTCATCAGTTTCTAACTATGTAGTTACTTGAAAAATCCCACTCCGAAGAGACTGGACCTTTGCTGTTCAATAACCACTATAAATAACTTTATCTAATACCTGTTTTAGTGATTAAATCGCAGAATACCGACGCTGGTCAGTGAAAACACAACTTAATCGAACTAACATTAGCCGGAGCGTCTTTTTTTCACTTTATTAAGGATTATGTTATCAAGCGGGTTTATTTGTAAATTAATCTGTTGCTAAGTTTAACTAATCAAGCGGTGTACAGTGTGAGGTCACGGCACGGTTTGCATTCGGACTAATGACGCTTCATTATTAATTAACAGTGAATCACTTTAGAGATAAAATTCATGTTTACTGGTATTTAATCTAGTCGAGTTTTAAGTATGGCGGCGGTACACCGTTTAGTGATGTCGGTTTGAGGATTCCGTGAGGAAATCTGTCATTTTGAGTGAGTGATGTGAGGTGAAGATGGGGAATAACTTCAAGAAACGACAACAGCCTACCAGGAGGCTTTCACCTGTTAGCAAAAAACTCTATTTTCAATCGGTAAAGTCTACTCAATAATTCATTGCCATGAGTTTTACCTGATAATTCGCACAAGGCTGCGATTTTGAACCTCAAGTGAAGTCAAAAGACCGAAAAAACTTTAACAATTCATTTTATTTAAAGATTCGTTTGAAGCTTTAAAAGCGCAATAATAAACAGCGAATAACTATGCAGATGTTTTATGATAAAACATTGTTTTCGAGCAGGGTTTAGATCCGCTTTTGGCTGCTTGGAAAACTTTTTACGATCAGATATCGACATTCGTTCGAAGATTCTGAAACCGCATTTTTAGTTCACCCTGTTGTATTTTTTGCGTTAAGCGAAAACGCCACACGAACTCATTTGGTAGTTGGATTAGCAACTTTGAGCTGAAAGTTTTGAACAGCCGATGGGCATTTGCTCGATTGGATGGGCAAAGGGTTGGACTGAAAATGGGATTCGTAGGGACAGGAACGGGACGATTAGCATATAATTAAAAGGACGTCGTCGTCGTCGTGGCGTCGCGTGAACCCCATCAACACGCCGTGACGCCGACTGGATAGTAATGGCGTAGCTGGAAGAAAAATCGACCATCTAATTTAACTAGATTGTTTCACTTTGGCATTATGCCTTGACCGGAAGAAAATCAAAATTGAGCTAATTTATCAGCCTAGTTGTCCACAAAAAACAGCTTTGGTTGAACTTGTCGTGTAACAAGCACCGATGAAAGAGATTGTAAATGAGATCTGTTGGGTTCAGAAGCGTTCCCGATTTTTCCACGCCCCAAATGAATTTCCCACAAAGGTGGAATATATGCAGGGCCATCCAGAATACATTTTTCATTTGGTTTTCCGACAGTGTCGGACTTTAAGGGATTTATTGTGTTTTTCTTAATGGATTTGGTAAATATTTTCGGGTTCGTTCAGTTTTAGGCAGCATTGCCGAGGATTACGGCAATACAGACGGAAATCATTATTGTTTGCACTTCAATCGAGATAATAACGATGAATTATAATGAACAAACTACTTTCGGAACCCGCATACTTTTTGCCTTTCCTAATTATCGACAGTAATAAAGCAGATATTGGAATTATTCTAGCGGTTTATCGGTAGCTTCATGGCGTGAGATAATACATTTTTGCACTTTGGACCTTGTTCGTTTCGGGTGTGAACGAACCTGTCAGTAATCATCAATTCGATAGTTTCTACGGGATTTTAGCGGGAAAGCCAAATAAAGTTGACTAGTTTTGGTATCTAAGTCTGTTTTCTGGTGGGCACTGTTATTCAAAAAAAAAGTCCAAACATAGTCTTGCTCAAAACCCATATATATTTAGCCGTGAAGGTGTCAAGTTGGAACGTAGTTACACGCGGGCCATCTTGGCGCGCCATTGTCGCCTACAGGTGCGAGAGAGACTACCGATGACAACTACGTTCCAGAATGGATTGATTGGCTGCATTCGACTCGCAGTTTTATATAAAGTTTTTGAAAAATATACTGAAACTTTATAACTATAATAAACTGTAATGAAATAAGCACTTCATTGAACCAAATTCATTAAGTATACAAGTAAGGCCCAAACATTTGGGAAGGAAGTATAAATGAATTTGTGCAAAAGAAAAACTGGCGAAAAAGTCGACTGCAATTGACCTAATAATACGCAAATAAATACGTAAATTAACAGTGGTAAAAAAAGCATCTGTGAAAGAGCAGAGAAAGATAACTGTGTGAGTCAAGTAGTAAATAAGTTCGTTTCTAAAGTGAGCCAAAGCTACTGTACAAGAAAAGAGAACGTGTTAAAGAAAACGCAGGAGGAGAATTAAATTGAAAGTGGACCTATCTCTATTTAGACGGAGTTTTACTCAAATAGAGGCATCGTCTGATTTTTCGCAATCGTTTATTTTGAAACTTGCCAAGCAAATCTCCAAAATTCGTACACATCCACAAAGAAAAATTCATAGCTCCCCAAAAAATTAGAGTAGCAACCTCAAATTTGTACACAGTGTAAACACTGAAGACAGCAATATTTAGACGGAATTTCACTCAAATTGGGGCTTCGGCTGATTTTTCGCAATCGTTTATTTTGAAACTTGCAAAGCGGATCTTCAAAATTCGTACACATCCACAAAGAAAAATTCATCACTCCCCAACCAATTGGAGTAGCCAATCCAAAGGAGACAAAACATCAACAGTCAATACTCATTGAAACAAGGAAAATAGTACACCGTAAAATCGGTGATATAAATATATATATATAGTGATATAAAAAAATTTTTTTGGACGTGAAAGACTGAAGAAGAGTGGATGAGCGGAAGAAATATGTGCCAGTTGAAGAACCGCATTTGTTTATTATTCCATTCATCATTCTTTTATTTGCCACACAATCCACTTAAGGATCTTCAAGAAATTGTTTTATACGTGCGTCCCTTGGCGATTTTTTAATTGAGTATTCAGTTTGCGCATATTCTCCAATATTCAGACAGCTTTTGCCCCATCCCTCAAAACTGCTTCATCAAATCCCATTAGAATTATCCTGGTTTTCCCATTTCGGAAAATTTCCAAGCACCCACTTTTATTGGCATTGTTTACGTGAATTTTCCGACCTGGAAAATTCTAAACTTGAAATCGCCCATTCGGAGCGGCTTCTTTGCCTGCTGTAGGGAGGGTCTGAAGCGATATGGGCTAGTCTGGACTTACTGACCTACTTTCTTACCGATTTTCAGTGCCTTCATGCAGATCCTTATCTGTGGTGGATACACACAGTGGTGGCGGAGTTGATAATCCACTTATTCAACATTACAGTGTTTAGATAGTCGATCTGGAGTATGATTGGCGTGTTTTCCTCAGTGTCTATTTGCTTCTGCATCTACTTTGATCAATAGTCTTAGCTATGAAGAGAAGCCTTTGCTTTGTTTCTTGTTTCACAAAGTTCGATTGTTTATGTAAAATTTGCCCTGGATTCTTTTTCCATCACCGAGTAAAACAGCATTTTTCAGTTTTGTAACCCTTGTGAGATAATGGAAGTTTGAACAAATGAGAAACAGTCATTTTCAGTCGGATTCCACGCAGATGGCTGGTTTGTTTGCATAAAAGTTCCGACTTCACAATACCACAAATCAACTGGTTCTAATTGTATTTTTTCCATTATCAGAAATTAATATGGCGGTAGATACTGTCGAGGTCGCCCACTCGGGAAACTGAAATAAAGCGCAGGAAAAATGGAATGGGAAATATGGAGGGCACCCACGGAGGATTTATGCAAATGACCCTGCAATTTATACGCTGGGTTAATGGGATCTAAAAGGGGGGCAAATTGCAAACTATGGGTGGCGATTATTTAACGGGGAATCGGCTGTTATACATGGGGGACATTTTCATGTAAATATGCGGCGTGTAAACGTTTCAACGTTCAAAGAAATGAAATGAGCGAAGTTTGTGAAACGGGGAGCCAACTTTATAAAATGACAACCAGAACTCGGCCTAAAACAAAGTTTAAAATACATCGGAAGGAAGCTGAAGTGAACAACTCGAGAATGTAAATCGTGTTTCGGCTTAATCTAAAGTTGGGGCCTCCGGAGCCTTCGCAAAAAGTATCCGAATATATTTAATATACAATTTTCGATTCGGTAATTGCGGTTGAATTTCGCGTTTGATCGTTTAGGGACTTTTGAGTTCAAAGCCTGTCTTCACTTTAAGCGTTGCAAAGAGTTCGATTTGTTCAATCGAAGAAAAAATGTACAATTCTCCAGTTGGACTGTAGATTAATTTAGCGATCTTTAAACTGATTTTATACCAGCACACAAAACAGATTGGACTGAACTGAAATCTGAAAAAAACAGGAGTAGAGTAAAAACCTGTCCGATTTTATTGCGTAGAATTAATGTTCTGAATTCCACGAGGTTTTGTCTTTCGAACGTGTGATATACTGCGGGGCAGTAAAACTTTCAAAACTGTTTCATTCTCAGGAGAAAAACCGAGATAACAAATCATTGGTCGATTTTAGTATCGAGGGAAATAACATGCAAAACAATGCGAATTTTCCGGCTGTATAGCGGCGAATAGTGGACAGGAAAACTGCCATCCACAGGGGGCAAACACTAATAGGCAATAGCGGGAATGTTAGATGAACAATAACTGAATCAAACTAAAAAAATCAGTTTGTTGCCTCAAGTCGGTTGGTGAGCAAAGAAAGGTTTTACCTGGCTGAACAAAAGAAACACGCCTGCAAAGCAGGAATAAATGAAACAAGACTCTTCAAATATGTATCCACGAATAGAGCGCCGCGACGCAAAAGCCGCTTTGAAATTCGTCTTTTTGATCCGTACCCGACATACCCCAAATTCTTTGTGCGGAGGCTCGATGCCGTAGTTTTTTTTGTTTTTGCCTCTTGATGGTTTTTCCGTAAATAAGGGTCTGCATTAGGGAAGCCTTTGGCGTGAATAATATACCGTGAATTCCTGCCAAAGCAATGGCGTGTTAAGGAATTGTTTTCAATTTGTGCCTGCCGATTTGCAAGCATCAAATTTCGTTGAAATTATGCAATAATTGGTGTTTTTTGGAATTTGAAGCGGACGTTTCGCTAGCACGCATGGTTTAAGTCTTCAGAGATTTGTTCGCTTTCGCTTCCGAACCTCTAAAGATAACTAGAGGGCTTAACCCATTCCCTCATTTATACCGGATGTTAGTTGATTTTGCGTTTATTCCTTCGTGTGATTATTCGAATTTTTCAAACTGCCTCGTTTTCAAATGTACTATAAAGATTTTAGAACTTTTTGAAAGTTGCATTATTTTGAG